AAAGAAAAAACAATAAAGTTACCTCCTGAAAAAGCACCTTTGGGACATTTTTTACAAGTGAATGCAAATAATGCAAAGATCACTTTGGGGGAGTGAGGGCAAAACAATCCCTCAAATTAACGGGAAAGACCAGAAGGGAGATTAACAAAGCAAAAGGGCATTTTGAAAGTAGAAGGAATGCTTGTGAAGATATTAGATATCATCTAGATATAATGAGATTTCTGTATTCTCACTCTGTTACTATAAGTATACTTCTATACATCCTGAAACTCCTTCCTAAAAATTCCAGGTAACAATGTTCATATTTGCCCTAGATTTTCTGCTAACATTTATTTAGAGGCTCTCAGTTTCCTTTGCCAAAACTGGCTAGTTATGTTATCTATTTATTCAAAACAAATAGCTGAAACAACTTGATATGCTAAGATAGTAGAATATGAAGCCACATTTGTAACTGTCTGGTTTGATATATCTCAGTTTTTCTATTAAGATTCCTAGAACTATTCAGCTGTGTATTTTTAGGGAATTGAATTTTGAAATGCTCCTTGGAGCTCTTGCTTAAGTATCCTTGTGTATGCAACAGCAATTCTTTTCACAATTTCCTGTCCTCTTTGAATCTGAAATTAATGCCAGATTAGTATGCCATCAGAGATACTTGCTTGCAAAAGAGATTCTATGGTTCCATGTTCTATTATTTGCACCAGATTTAACCATGATAAGAAATATTCTCATTGTTTTTAACTAATTTTCTCTGCTTAATGTATAAATGAGAAAAAGTTGAATCCCATGTATATGAACACTTTTTAAACAATCCTCTTCTATCTTTCAGGGAGTGATTTATTGTATTAAGTTGGATCTTGCTAAAACTCTGGGATAATTTTAGCACACATTTGTTAAAGCTGTTCACCATGCAGCAGAAAATTCATTGATCTAATATTATCCTATTCAGCAGTTATCTAGTTGGAATCTAAATAATTTTTCTTTCAATCAAAAAAGAGCCACAGTTCTATTGATGTGCAAACTACTCTGACTATATTTAGAGTAAATTAATTCAAGGTTGTGATATTAAATACTTGTAATACAATTTAATACTGATTTTATAGGTTATGATGAATGAAGCTATGTATGTTTGTTCTTTGTTTAAATAACAGTTCTTAGCTTGTACTTCAAAATACATGCTTCATATTCCAATAATTTACTTTTGCAAGCCAGCAAAATACTAATAATACATAATTATTACTAATAATAATGCATAATAATGCTTGATGGTTGAGGATAAAATTAGAAGACTTTTAGATCACTAAAAT